GTTGTTTTAATAGTCATTGCTGCCGCAGCGAGCGAGCCTGAAGCGAGCGAGCAAGGCGGCAGATCCCATTGAACTATAAATAAACTGGAAGGCTAACTGCTATGATGAAGGCCTATGATTTGATGAAGCCAAAATAGTTTTTCTGAGTTATGAGCAGAAATACTTGACCCCAAACGTCGGTGTGGAAATTTCAAGACTTCAGCGAAAAGAAAAATATTTAAAAAATACAAAAACAACTGCAAAACGGCAAATTATCGGTAATTATGTTTGTAGTTTTTCAATATTTTCCTTTTAGCTAAAGTCTTGAAATTTCTACACCAAATAGTGTTTTTCAATAGCTTCAATTTGATATATAGCCCAACGTTCAGTGTTGAGTATTTCTGCTCATAACTCAGAAAAACTAAAATGCACTGGCTTCAATTCCCCCCCCTGAGTTAGCCTTCCAGTTTATTGCTGCCGCAGCGAGCGAGCCTGAAGCGAGCGAGCAAGGCAGCAGATCCTAATTTTGTTTTGTGGGTCGAAATCAAAATTTTCTATTTGGCGCATTGCATGACGGTGCCAGTGAATTTTAACCGTGGTGCAGCGCGGTCAGGCATAAGGCAAACAGGCAATGTGATCATCTTTCATCTTTGGTCTTCTTTTATGGAAACCCATAGCTGGCTTAGAGTGATCAAACGGCATTTTGTTGGGTGCTTTTAGCATTATACGGCGGTGCTTTCGGCATTATACACGGTGCTTTCGCCATTATACGCGGTGGTTCCAGTATTATACGCGGTGCTTTCACCATTTATATACGCGGTGCTTTTGCAATTATACGCAGTGGTTCGAGCACTATATGCGGTTCTTCTAATATTATACGCGATGCTAGCTTTCATTCAACATTATTTCCATATTCTTTCCATGACATGTATATGATTTAACGATTGCTTAAATTTGGTATGTGGTTGACAAATGCTTTTTGCCTATGGTCTGCATGGACAATGACATGCTTTTCTGTGTATATAAATGAATATAGCGCAGCGAATGCGCCAAACAGTATAAACGCGGCTGAAATACGATATTAAAATCTTAAATGTGCCGTATGATTTAATTATGTTTTAGGATTTACAAATGCTTTGTCATTTGTATTTATACTTGTACTGCATCACAAGGCAGTACGTAAGTGAAAACATTCCACATGTGAGATTGTCTTGTATACATTTTTGCTTTCTTTGATAAACATTATTAAACACGCAAATTTTAATTAGTGAGACGCAATGTTAAATGTCACCTGCATGTCATTGTCATTGCCCTTTAACCCCTGGTCTAATTGGCCGCTTTTGAAAATGTTGATCATGACGAACCGCACTGCCTTTAATTATGCAAACTTTGTGTTTTAAAAACGGGTTAGGATAAAACGCGAATACGGACGGACGGATGAATGACGGACGGACGGATGGCGACGGACGGACCGGACGGATGACATATATATGTCATTATATAGTCTGCGCGCAGCCGCGCAGGGTAGTTAGTGGCTTACGTCTTCGCTGGTTGTTATACTTTAAAATAATTTTGTATATACCGAGAAATCAATATTCCGAGTATATAAATATATAAACTGGGATGTCACACTGATAGCTTGTTTACATTTCCTGGAGCATCAAATCTTATGTTTATAAACCACAGCGGTTTAACCCATTAGCTGGCAATGCGCCCTTCCCTTGTCCAACGCCAGACGATTTTACTCGTCAGTGGTATAGGGTACTGCCAGTAAATGGGTTAACAAACCTATCTGCCAATGGCTCTTGTTAATTCATCAACACAGTAATGACCCCTACTTTAGTAGTTACCCTGTCCAACGCCAGACGATTATTAATACTCAGTCAGTGGTAGGATGTTTCTGAAGAACTCGTTCAACACCCTGTAGTTTGTCTTTTGCTGTCAAAGGCAGCATTACTGCCCTGTGGGTAACCTAGTTTATAGTTCAATGGCAGATCCTAATTTTGTTTTGTGGGTCAAAATCTCAGTGGTCAAAATCAAAATTTCCATTTAGCGCATTGCATGACGGTACCAGTGAATTTTAACCGTGGTGCAGCGCGGTCAGGCATAAGGCAAACAGACAATGTGATCATCTTTCATCTTTTATGGAAAGCCATAGCTGGCTTAAAGTGATCAAACGGCATTTTGTTGGGTGCTTTTAGCATTATACGGTGCATGGTGCTTTCGGCATTATACACGGTGCTTTCGCCACTATACGCGGTGGTTCCCGCATTATACGCGGTGGTTCCAGCATTATACGCGGTGCTTTCACCATTTATATACGCGTTGCTTTTGCAATTAATATACGCAGTGGTTCGAGCACTATATGCGGTGCTTTTAACATTATACGCGATGCTAGCTTTCATTCAACATTATTTCCATATTCTTTCCATGACATGTCTATGATTTAACGATTGCTTAAATTTGGTATGTGGTTGACAAATGCTTTTTGCCTATGGTCTGCAAGGACAATGATATGCTTGATGCTTTTCTGTGTATATAAATGAATATATAATGCAGCGAATGCGCCAAGCGGTATAAACGCGGCTGAAATACGATATTTAATAAAATCTTGAATGTGCCGTATGATTTAATTATGTTTTAGGATTTACAAATGCTTTGTCTTTTGTATTTATACTTGTACTGCATCACAAGGCAGTACCGGTAAGTGAACAAATTCCACATGTGAGATTGTCTTGTATATATTTTTGTTTCTTTGATAAACATTAAACACGCAAACTTTAATTAGTGAGACGCAATGTTAAATGTCACTTGCATGTCATTGTCATTGACCTTTAACCCCTGGTCTAATTGGCCGCTTTTGAAAATGCTGATCATGACAAACCGCACTGCTTAATTATGCAAACTTTGTGTTTTAAAAACGGGTAGGATAAAACGCGGATACGGATGGACGGATGAATGACGGACGGACCGGACGGATGATATATATATGTCATTATATAGTCTGCGCGCAGCCGCGCAGGGTAGTTAATGGCTTACTTCTTCGCTGGTTGTTATACTTTAAAATAATTTTGAAAAAAAACGAGAAATCAATATTCCGAGTATATAAATATATAAACTGGGATGTTACACTGATAGCTTGTTTACATTTCCTGGAGCATCAAATCTTATTTTTAACCACGGTGGTTTAACCCATTAGCTGGCAATGCGCCCTTCCCTTGTCCAGCGCCAGAAGATTTTACTCGTCAGTGGTATAGGGTACTGCCAGTAAATGGGTTAACAAACCTATCTGCCAATGTCTCTTGTTAATCCATCAGCACAGTAATGACCCCTACTTTAGTATTTACCCTGTCCAACGCCAGACGATTTTTAATACTCAGTCAGTGGTAGGGTACTGTCAATAAATGGGTTAACCTGCAAGGATAACAATAATAGGATGTTTCTGAAGGACTCGTTCAACACCCTGTAGTTTGTCTTTTGCTGTCGAAGGCAGCATTACTGCCCTGTGGGTAACCTAGTATAGTATACAGTATATCTATCGTATGTGTTAAAATTATATTAATAAGCGTTTATCCTGTTGTCATTACACAGATCGGCTGGTGTTATGTTACCAACTGGTGCGTCGAAGGCTGGAAAGCAAGAATATTCTTCCCTTCGAAACTAAACGCATTATAACGTCTGTGTAATACGATAATGCCTCGTGAGAGGAGATTACCAAGCGACTGTATTATGTATAGCAATAACGTTTTAGTCATATCTACTAATCTACATACCAGTGCGCACTGTGCAGTATAAAAAGGCGGCGATCTGCATGGAATAATTGCTGCCGAGCGTAGCGAGGCAGCTCCCTATTCTCGACGTTACATGACGTTCTTGCTTTTTCGTGCCCAGTCCCCGGCCGAGTTATATTGGGGAAACATACTGAATTCATGTCAGTCCGTTGGATGTCAAGATTTTTCGGAAATTGTCGTCAGCTCGAGCATTCGACGACTCTTTGTTTTTATTCGATTTTGATTCGATTTTATTTATTTTGTATTGCGCTCGCATGATTTTTCTCAGGATTTAATACGGTTTAATACGATGCAAAGGATCGACAATATTTTGAATCATTTGGATAGCTTTATTTCTTTCTTGTGATATATATGAGCATTTATATTTAGATTTGCTGTTTAGTGTTCGATATAGAGGTATTGAAACCAATATGATTTCATGAATTTGCAGTTCTATATAATAGCCCACTGATCGTCTTTATATTTATACAAGGAGTCAAAATGTACTTTTCGTATCTGAGATATGTCCATTGGTTAGCATTATATGTAATATACCGGCTTACATTCATATATTCGCCTGCTCAGAATTTCTTTCTACAATCTTAGTCATTACAAATGAATGGTCATCTAAAGCTGACAAAAATGTCAACACATATTTTGTCTCCTCATCAGCAGATTGTTCGGTTGTTCTGCAATAGGGGTAGCCTTGAAGGTGCCATTAAAACAATAATCGCGTCGTACTGTCCGTACTCATGCGCGATTTAATTTCGCGCACCTTGTTCATATTCGCGCTGGCCTCAAAAATATTGTAATGTTTCAAAATTATGTAATAAAACTAAAACATTTATCCCCGTGGATATTCGTTCGACACCGGATCTTCTTGCTTCACGGCTATTAATCCGACAACACTTTAAAAGCTAACACTAAATCACTAAACGGTTGCGTTGTTTCTTAAGAACGAAGCAACAACATATTATTCTATACGCTATACGTTTCGACGGTTTCGTACGCGGTGCGTAAGCGAAAACCACGAAGAAAAAAAAAGTATAAACAAAATAATAGAATAGTGGCGCAAGCAGGAATCGATCCCAGAACTTGGCGCACGCAATACGGGTGCCTAAATGTGGCCTAAACCACAACACTAAGGAGGATTCGCTTGAAATTCAGTTAAATTTACGCGGTTTTATATTTAACGATTTTAATGACTATGGAAATGTCGGACGAATATCCACGGCGAACATTTATTGTATGGTTCTCATTACTAACAACCGGTGTCTCATATTACATCACAAAGCTTTTCGCGCGGATTATATTTCGCACATAATTAAAATTCGCGCAACCCAGCGCTGCGTGAATTCTAGTACTGCCCAAATTTTTATACCGAAGCAAGGTATATGAAATTGTAGCAACAAGTCATGTTATGCAAGTTTTTAATGATTTAGATCCAGGTTTATTAGCATAGCATGATCAGTTGCTATCTTTTGGGTTTTATCAAGAGAGCATGTAAGGAGATAAGAAACCCCAGAACAAGAAGATGCCTGTTCCTAGCGATTGCACGACCTCATCTTGGCTACGCCACGCAGATTTGGGCTCCTCAGACAATTGATCTGATTAAACGGGTAGAACGAGTTCAGCGCCGTGCATCCAAATTTATTCTAAATCTTCCATACGATTGTCAGACCAACTACAAGAATCGGCTTAAAGTAAGCAAGTTATTACCGCTTAGTTTCTGGCACGAATATTTAGACCTCGTGTTCTTATTCAAGATGATGAATGGTTTGGTGCATGTTAGCGATGACATTATTCCAGAAAGGAATGTTGGGAAAGCGAAAAGAACAAGAGCCACGAGCAACCCAGAAAGCATCTTGCTCCGTGAGACGAAATGCAGAACGGTGACATTTCAACGCTCGTTCATCAACAGATCGACCAGGATATGGAACATTCTGCCTGATGAACTGAGACATCAATCTTTAAGCTTAGTCAAATTTAAATCTTTATTACTCGATTACTACCGTTCTGCTTTAAATCTAGTCTATGATCACGATAATCCACGGACATGGAAATCTATCTGCCTAAAGTGCAACAAGGCTCGAAGTCTGGATAGTCCAATCTCTTGTTGTTTTTAGCGAGTTTGGGATTTGGCTTTCGCCGCCACTACCGCTACCTCTCGCTGACCTGATGTGCATGTAATTGGTTAGCTCGATAAACTATAATAATATTGTTGGTGGCGGTAGTGGCGGTGGAAGTTGAATCTTGTCTTTGCTATGTATTGCATTGCATTGCATTGTATTGCATTGTATTGCATTGTATTGCATTGCACTGCATTGCATAATATTCAATTTTGTTCTGTGCGATGTAGTTTTGTTTTGCGATATGTTGTTTTGTGTTGTATTCTTAAAATTTAGCAATTTTTAAAGGGCCCACAGTAATTGGTGTATACTGTTGTGGTGTCCCTGCCACTTGTTTGTTGTAAGTGGCGAAGTTTAATAAATAAATAAATAAGTTGCCGTGGCTAGCTTGCCACTGAATACTGTACAATGTCATATTGTCATATATATCAACAATGATATCATAATACTTGAATAAATCATTGGACATGTAGAGTTTAATTTAATAATTGCTAGCTTCACCATTAACAGTATAATTATACATACAAAAGCAAGAAGTTATAAGCATTGAAGGGATTCATATAAAACCCCCCATACCAAGAAAGAAGGATTAAAATCTTAGCTGACCTTCGACTTTGTGCAAGGTGTTTGATATTCAAACTGCACTTTACGGTCTTTTCCTGCATCCTGAACAGGCGTATTAGCAATCTCGTACCCAGAGTATGCCCGTTCGCAAGTTAGGTCATGCCCAGCACCTAACCTGTGAACGGGCATACTCTGGGCTGTTTACATGATGGAAGATGGGATGATTTTGATGTATTGAAATAAGTCACTATAGACTAAACGAAAGTTCAAATGCTGGCTAACTCAAATGTTGTAGAGAAAATCATGTAGTTCAAGATTTTTATAGCTTTTTGTTTCGTTCCCCGCAGGAACGAAACGGTACTGTATTTGGTTTCGAGCAATGTCACAGGAAAGTGACGTCAGATACCAAAGTTATCCAATCCTTTGCCAGTATTCTTGCTGAAACATCAATTACATTTAGAATCGTCCAATGAGATGACCGCTCCTAGCATAAGACGTTTTTTGGAGGCGTGGCGTATAATTGGGAATCTTAGTTAACGATATGTCAACGAAGTTCTATCCGCTTTGTGTGACGACACGTCGTCCTGGCCCTTAGCTTACTCTTGAATTTAGTCTTTTTGGGACCGTGGGAACAGTTTGACCAAGCTAAGAATAAATACGAGGCCAGATAACATACTGCGCTTGGCCAAATACTTCATGCGAAAAATTAAAAACGAAGAAATATGTATATATTAATTATAGGACATTATAGGCATAATTATATAATTGCACTCTCGTTTCCGTATGCTCTTGTAATATATAAATAGGAACTCCGTAACATATTTACAACTTCTAGACTGCTTTTGTTATCTAAATTTGGAAATGGCGTAGATATCTATGTGCGTGACACGTATTGGTATTTAAAAATCGTAGCGTAAATGTGACACTGATGTAATCTTTCTACTGTCAATCATTTTTAAATCAACCTATCAAAGACAAGAATGACGAATTGCAATGTTAACTCCAAAACTAAGTTTAGGACATCATTTGGCCCTGTGATCTAGGAGTGGACGGAGTGAGAATATATGCGATTTTAATGTTTCAAAATTAATAATGAGTTTATTTACAAATTAACCAAGAAAATCGTGTCGTAACGTTTTTGTCCCATAAACAGAACACAAAATATATAAACTGTTCTATTATCTTACCGAAGGGGTTTCATCTTGATTTAAAGTCATCATGTTGTTTTATTGACAAATATACACTGACGCCATTTTGAATCTCATAGGAGGTTAGAGTTAGGGATGGGGATTGGGCGAGGTTTCGTGATTGGGTGACATGAAATCATAACCTGAATCTCGACTTTCCCCCACATATTCTTTTTGCAATTTTACGACATGGCAGCATTAACAAAAGGCGACAAAGTAATTAGCCAATGAAATTGCTTATCGCAGGTGGGTATCAAATCTAGCAGGTGAGTATACCAAATCATTGCGAAAGGCTAGCGCTGTCGACCAATGAAAACGGTTTTTGAAGCTCATTTATGGGATAATGAAAATTACTAAAACGTGCAAAAAATTACCAAAGCCCGCCCGCCTCGCAAAATGGCCCGATTTCATTGCTCGACATATACAAGTGATCTATGGTGACAACCGCTAATTACAGACGTCTAGTATTTCTATAATTATATTGGAACGAAACATTATTTCTTTTTTTAAAGAAATATTTTCTTGTTGAACAACCTTTCGTTTACAGTTGACATCCATCTCTAGAAAATAAAGTTTTTCACAAAATCATCGCGCCTTATATCTCGTCCTGGCAAAGGGGTTTAAGGATCCGTATAAACAGCCCTTATTCAGCAAATTGCGTATGCTCCCTTGTCTTTGATCCCTTGGGGGTGAGGCAGCACTTTCCTTGCGATAGTAACGTCTAGTATATATGTTATTGTGCCAAGAAAGATTCCATGTTACTTCCACACGATATCAGGAAATTGAGTTCCTCCTTTTCAGCTTTTGGTAATACATTTTGTCCCAGTGAACCTTAATCCTTCAATGCTATTCAGTTAATAGGAATAGGATGTAGACTCAAAAGAAGCAGGCGATGTCTGACTTTAAGTTTAATTTATGTAGATCCAAAAGACCAAAATATTATTACTGACTGGAAAGTTTGGAAATTGCGCTCCGGAGATTTCGAAAATTCAATAGTAAATATATAGAAAGCATCAAAATTTGCGCGCCCGATATCTCCGCCGCGCGTATAAAATTATGCGGTACAAATTATCTACTTCCCTCCTCGATAACATAACAGTGAAACGTCGTGATAACTTTTAGTGAATTCTTAATATATTTATTTCAAAAATCCCAAAGGAAAAGACACGACTGTCGACTGGACCAAATAGTCAATAGCGAACTTTTGCACGCTATTCCATGGTCGCCATTTTGATTTTTATTTCGTAAGAATTACGTAATTGAAATGACGTAATTTGTCATTTTGTGGCGTACCAAAGGGCAAACCTAGAGTCGGTGGGCACCACAGGTGGCCCCACCGACTAAATATGTTCCAGTGTACCGAAGTCCACTCTTGGTGATTGTTAATTTGGTACCCATAAGTCCATATTGGCAGTGCTTCTTGTATGTCGCTGGGAAACTGTTGTAATAAATTGAACTATACTCGAATAATTGAACTCAACTCGTTTTTAAATCAAAAATAAACTTTTAAAAATTATATATCACTTCTTAACTCGCTCTACTCAGAACTTCCACACAAGACATTAATATTCCATGTGCTCGCAGAATTGCGTGACACACGCGTGGTGTCCACGTAATAATTACGTCATTAATTATAACATACTCCCCACCTTGACTGGTGAGAACCATTCAACGATATAACTAAGTAATTAAATCTAATCAGTTTTCCTTAAGTCCATGCTTAACAAACGTAATTGGAAAGTTTTCAGGATGCTCCTGTTCCAATTTAAGTTCTAAAGGATACAACTTTTGAATAGGCCGATCCAACGTAGTCACCTTTCCGTCTTTACCGATAGTACGCACCACGACTGCTCGAGTATTTCCATCGCGACCCGTTAACAACTTTTCGATCTGTCCAATATTCCAGTTTAAACGTTTCACGTTGTCTTCTGCAATGACAACAACATCACCTTTGTTAACACTTGGACCCTTCGCGAGGACGATGATATTCACGCAATTGAGTTAAGTATTCTTGTTTCCACCTTTTCCAGAAGTGCGTTAAAACAGTTTTTAAATGTCTTTCGCGTCGTGTTGCTCTTTCTGCGGTGTCAACTTCGTCTGATATACCTGAACTTACGCTCTTCGCTGGAGTAAGTACTCTTCTTCCTAGTACAAGGTGCGAAGAGGTTAACGGTTCATCGTTGTCTTCATACAAGTAAGTGAGAGGACGAGAATTCAACACGCCTTCTATTTGAATCAACAACGTGAGCAATTCTTCGTAAGTCAATCGGGCAGTTCGTAGAACTTTCTTTAAACATCTTTTAACTGACCGAACTAAACGTTCATAAAAACCTCTCCACCATGGGGAACGTGCAACAATATGTACCCACTTGATTCTTTTCGATGTACAAAATTCTTTCAATTCTTTCGACTTAAATGTCTTGCCATTGTCCGAAATCATTGTTCCTGGTATTCCTCTGCGACTCATAAACATCTTGAAACTACGTATAAATGTTTCACTGGTTGCATCAACGGCGAGATCTAAATGAACTGCGCGACTCGACGCACATGTGTAGAGTACAATGTACGCTTTATACATTTTACTGTCCTTAGAATATATGTTCTTCACGAATAATGGGCCAGCATAGTCAACTCCTACTCTTGAAAAGGCAACGTCGTTATCTAAACGGTATTCTGGCAAGGGAGGTGCTGGCGGCACTCCGTAAGATTTGCCCTCTAATCGTTTACATGTTAAACATCGAGCGATAATCTTCACTACTTGTCGCCCTCTTACGATCCAATATCTCGATCTAACTTGAGTTACAGTTTCCCGAACGCCATTATGCATAACTTCAGTGTGACAATGCAGAACTACGAGATTAGTAAAATCATGATCGATGGGTAATAACATAGGAAACTTCGTTTCGTCGGGTAGATTTGACTTTTCGATTCGACCATGACAACGGATAAGTTGCTCATCGTCCACAAATAAGCTTAAAGATCGTTTCATTTTATTATATTTTGGCAGCTTTGTTAAGGAAGCTTGCACATGCTTAATCCAGGATTTCTCGGCCACCTCTAGTTCTTCAGCAGTTAGAAGACCCTTCAAAATTTCCTCACCTTTCAAACTTCGTTTTACATTGTCAACGAATCTCTGCACATAGGCTGTTACACGAAGTAAAGTTTCTAACTTACTATACTTCGAAGGCTTTAGCAAGTTC